CTTTGGAGTTAAGAGAGTTTAGAGGTAATTGCCTCTCATCTCTCCTGATAGTTCCTCTTTAAGCACAGTGGTTAAGGTGGCTGGATTTCAGCAGGTTATTGCACAGTTCAAGTCCCAGAGTTGGCAGCTCGAGAAACAACGCTGGGTGCATATGCATGTTTGCTCAAAAATCCCGAAAGGAAAAACGGAGGTGAAAGGATTGTGGCATGACCACCCCCTGTTGTAGGGTGCTTTTTCTCTTTCTCTCTCTTTCTCTGTGTCTCTGGTGAGTGCATGCATCCTTTAGCAAATTAAAAAAAAAAAAAAAAAAAACAGTTCCCCTTTAAGGACTTTTACTATCTTTTTAAAAATCAAAGCATTACCAAGAAAATGTTAGTGAGTAATGTCTTAATACCTTTTTTCATTGTAGGGCGCGTGCGCTCGCCAGACCGACAGAGAGAGACATAGAGACAGAAAGCGAGAAATTACCCCCCAGGGGGGATGGTCACGCTGCAGTCCCTTCTCCTCCATTCTCCTCTCGGGATCTTGGGCACGCACGCACATGCGCCCGGCGTGAGTTTTAAGCCACCGGGTCCGGGACCCGAACCGCGGTCGACTACGTGGGAGTCCAGTGACATAGCCATTACGCTAACTGCTGGTTCCCTTAATACCTTTTTAAAAAATTTTAAAACGTCCTTTAAAAAAATTAGTTTGCATTTAGTGGCTCTTTCCTATCTCCCTAATACTAGTCACATTGCTTTTTTGTTCAGAGCTGTGTGAAAATCGATATCCACAGTAGTCTTTTGACATTGGTAAGCTCTAGTTTCTGGGTGATTTAGGAAGTGGCATCATCAGAAGGAAAGCCAATCTCAATGGTTGTTCTTCTGTTATCCCATTGATACACACTGTTTAACAATGTGCTTCGATCATAGCTTTAACACTGGACGATTCTTCATAATGATGAAAATCATAATTTTGATGATGATGTTAAATTTTTCTGGCCTTTCCTAGGTTTTGACCAGTACTACCATTGCTTCATAGGATTGAGGTTATTATTGTTTTTTGATAGAGGGTGTGTGCGTGTGCATGTGCGTGTGTGCATGTGCGTGTGTGCATATGAAGGGGGACCAGAGAGAGAAGTACTCTCAACAGAGTTTCGTCACTCTGCAGTCTTCCCTTCCAGCCCTTCAGCTCCGCAGGATCCTGGGTGCCTTCGTGTGCACAGATCATGTCTTCAGGTCTACCCAAGGATCTGAACCCATGGTTGGCCACATGAGGGTGTTGTGTTAGTGTGCCATAGCTGCTGAGCGAAGGATTGAAATTGTTGATAGTAACAGTAGGCTCTGGGGAATGGCCACCAAGTACAATGTCGGAGTGGGAGAAAGGTTGAAGATAGGCTGTCTCTATGGATAACTCTCTAGGGAACCCAATACTTGCCTAATGTTAATTACCTTTTACCACAGTCTAATTATTATGGGTGCTATCTTAGTTTGTTCCAGCTGCTTTAACAAAATACTATGAACTGAATGGCTTATAAACAATAGAGTTTTATTTCTCGCAGCTCCAGAGGCTGGAAAAGAACTGCTAGGAAGCAAGACTGCTGCTTCCTAGAAGGCAGCCCTCATAGAAATGAGTTCACAGAAGGCATCTTGCAGGGATTTGTCATGGTAGAAGGGGCGAATTAGTTCTCAGGTCTGTCTCATAAGGGCATTAATCCTGTTCATGAGGGCTCATCCTTCACCTCCCAAAGGCTCCAGCCTCCTAATACCATGATTTCGGGGGTTAGATTTTAAAATACAAATTTCATAAGGACACAAGGATTCAGTTTTAACAAATATTTGTTGAGTACTTGTTCCTTAAACCTTGATGCTCCCATTTGAACAGCACTTGTGGATGTCCTATTGGAACAGAACTTAAACCAGTATCATTTTTTTCTCGGAGTATCTGCTGCCTTCAGCTTCTTTTCATTTTCTCGTCTTAGTATGGTTAATCATGATACCCTTAACCAGTGTCTCGAACTTGAACATTTGGAATTATCTATGCTCTTCCCACTCCATACTTACCTAAGTTATCATATCCTGTTTGCTCCACCTCCAGAATTGTTTCAGAGCCATACCATTTTTTCATCCTCAAAGTCAGATCATTTAAGTAATTTCACCTCTGGGTCATTTCAGTGATCTCTTAACTAAAATTTTTGTCTCTAATGTCTGTCCTCCTCATACTCGCCTCCTTCCAAATTAACTTCCACCAAAAACAAATGTACTCTTATGCTTAGTAGTCTATGCCTTTTGTTTTATTATTGCTGTTCTGTAATTTACCTCTTTTTATTCAATATTCTCACAAATGTTTCATGTAGTTCATGTATAGCGATCTTTTTTTTTTAATGTTGCATAGTATAAGTACATAAAATGTATTATTTAACCATTCCTCTGTGGGTGAACATTTATTTGTATTTTTTCTTTTGTTATTGCCAAAAATACTGAAATTAATGTCCTTGAACTTGTTTCTTGGCATGGATGTATAGTATGGATGGAGAGCTAGTATGTATATACCCACAAAGTAGAATTTCTGGGTCAAATTCAGTATACATTTAGACTGTTAGTAGATACCAACAAACTTTATAAAAATTTTCTTTCAATTTATACTTCCATGCTTTTTTCTCAAGCCCATTTTTAATAGATTGATTGTTTACTCATTTCCTTGGGCATTGCTGACCAGTACCAGCGTGTGTGAGGCACTCTGCTCTCTGCTTGGGAGTTGGCACCTGATAAGACAGATACATTCCCTGCCCTCATGTAGCGTATACTCTTTGCCCATACTTTCACCATTCCCACCCTCTTCTTATGCATTTGCAGCTACTGTTCACTCTTCCTGGGTTGATTTATTTCTTTTAGTTTTTCTGCCTGGAGAATTTTCTTTTATCCTTTTAACTAGCTTAAGTTTTATCTTCCATCATTGTCATTATTCCTTTAGGTAGCATTAGATAAGACCTGGCTCAGTGCTCTCTTGGCCCTTATTTTTTTATTTTTATTTTTTGAGAGATTTTCACTGTAGGGCGCGTGCGCTCGCCAGACAGACAGAGAGAGACATAGAGACAGAAAGCGAGAAATCACCCCCCAGGGGGGATGGTCACGCCGCAATCCCTTCTCCTCCATTCTCCTCTCGGGATCTTGGGCACGTACGCACATGCGCCCGGTGTGAGTTTTAAGCCACCGGGTCCGGGACACGAACCGTGGTCGACTACGTGGGAGTCCAGCGACATAGCCATTACGCTAACTGCTGGTTCCCGCCCTTATTTATTTTTTTGAGAGAGATTTCTGGTACAGGGGACGTGTACTTGCTGGAGAGACAGAGACAGAAAATGTGAAATCACTCTCTGGGGGAATGACCATGCTGCATTCCCTTCTCTTCTCCATCCTCCTCTTGGGGCCTTGGGCATGCATACACATGTGCCCAACGTGTTTTAAGTCACTGGGTCCAGGACTCAAACTGGTCGCCTATGTGGGAGTCCAGCGACTTAACCATTATGCCACCTGCTGGCCCTTGCCCTGAAGACTTTTAACTGTTCATTCATATATAAATGTGCTTATGTATGTATGCATGTGCTTTTTGTATATGCATACGCGCAGACCCACATATACCTCTCATTAAAGTTTAGTAAGGAATTAGGGTATTAGTATGTGAATGCTTTCACAATTTAATGCCTTAAATGTTGGAGGTACTTAATAAATGTCAAATAAGGGAATGAGTAACAAGCTGTCAATAAGCTTATTTTGTGCAGGGGGCTATGGGGGGTTATAAATACGAATAAGAATTAGCATATATTCAAGGTCCTAACCAGTGGTTAGTGAGATAAGGAACAGATGAGTAGACTGCAAGGGAGGTAACAGAGCTTATCACAAATGAATGCTTGAGAACTTAAAGGAGAACTGAATTTTCATGAATGAGATGGTCTCATAAGCTTGCAGGTGAAAGGATTTTTTCTTGCTTGTGCCATATGTTGCAAGGGATACACATGATGATAAGCCATAATCTACTCTAAGAGTTTTACAGTCAAGTAGGGCTTAGAGCAGAGATTGGCAGTCTGCAGCCTAGAGGCTAAATCAAGCCTCTTCCTGCTTTTATATGGCCAATGACTTCAACATTTTTTTTTTTTTTTTGGACAGGTTTTTGCTATATGGCATGTGCGCTCGCCAGAAAGACAGACAGACAGAAAGCGAGAAATCACCCCCCAGGGGGGATGGCCACACCACAATTCCTTCTCCCCCGTTCTCCTCTAGGGATCTTGGGCATATATGCACACGCATCCGGTGTGAGTTTAAGCCACTGGGTCCGGGACTCGAACCACGGTTGACTACATGGAAGTTCAGCAACATAGCCATTACGCTAACCGCTGGTTCCATGACTTCAACATTTTTTAAACTGTGGAAAATAAAGAATTTTTTGCAACATACAAAAATTATATGAAATTTAAATTTTAGAGTCCATGATTGTGTTGGAACACAGCCATGTGTACAAACCAGGAGTGTGTTTGCACTGTAGCCACAGAGTTGTTATAACAGAAGCGATTTGGTTCTCAGTGCTTAGAATAGTTACCATCTAGCTCTTTGCAGTACCAGTTTACTGACCATTAGGTTAGAGGCTGGGAAAGACCCAAAGTAAAAAAAGACAAATGGCATTCATATTGAAAAGATTCGTTAGAGTTTAAAGAGTTGAGACAGTGCCTATTGGCAGTAACAATCTTTAGGGCTGAAATGATGATCTACCTTAACTGCCTTACTTTAGCAGATAGGCAGAAGATCAAAAATCTTGTCAAAGTCCACATGGCTCATAAGTGGCAGCGTATGCTGGAGTGGCTGGTGCAGAAGCATCGAGAACTGTAGAGGATGATAACATTATTGCTGAGGTAGGGCCAGATCATGGATGATCTTGCCCTTGAAAAATGAAGTTGAAGAACAAGCTAAGAACAGCTGTCCCTTCTCTCTGAGTGTAATGTTTTTGTTTTTCTCTTGTATTTCCAGAAGGCCTTCGAGCCCTACTTTGAGATTTTGGAAGTATACTCCACAAAAGCCAAGAATTACGTCAATGGGCATTGTACCAAGTATGAACCCTGGCAGCTAATTGCATGGAGTGTCCTGGGGACCCTGCTGATAGTTTGGGTATACGAGTTTGTCTTCCAGCCAGAGAGTAAGTATACTGTCCCCTCTAAAGGAATAGTGTATACAGTAGTGGGTACTAGCCTTGGAACTCGTGGCCAATGAACCGGACTGATTTCTTGCCTTTTAGTTTGGTTCTGATTTTTTTTTTTTTTTAAGTTTCTTTATTTCATGAGACACACAAATGTACAGAGACCCCCAATAGGGTCTCCTCACCACAGTTTACCCCCAGCCTCAGCCAGCCTGGATCACAGGCATGTGCACATGCCTGGCATGTTAGGGCAGACCTGGAATGTGAACCCAGGAACTTTTCCATGTGGATCCAAGTTGTGTTACCATTGGGCTGCCACTTGACCCCTGGTTCTGATTTTTAAAATATGTTTAAATGGAAATTGGTACACTATCCTCTGATTGGTAGAGTTGTAATAGGACTCTTGTATAACTGTTACTGCTTATGTTGATTTTTTTTTTGTAAGCTTACATAAAAACTCAGAAATTAGTCATTGTAAAGATCCACAGATTTCTCAGAGTGTTGCTTAAGCCTTCATCAGTACTAATTTCTTCCCTAGAACATAATCGTGTCACTTGAGTTTCCAGAGCAGGGATTTATTACGTTCATTTTAAGTCATCCTTTTCTATAAAGACTAGGTAAAATTGGATGGTACTCATGTGACCACCATTTGAGTGCCTGTTATGTGCCAGACACTGTAGTAGACTCAGGGGGTATCTGTTGTCTTGGAATTGAACTTGTAATGTCAGGGATAGTGCACCTTGAGTTTCCTGGCACAGGGCCCGTATTGACCTGAGGAAGAAGGCCAGTCACAGGGTGTACAGAGGAAGGGAAGAAGTCTCATAGTGATCTGCTTGTAAATCTTCTATCCTTCCTAAAGCCTTAGTCTCTCCTTCCCACCTGTCTGCTCCCTATTTAGAAATCTGATTGCATGCCACCTCTTGTGAACTATTGATATTTTCCTCCTTACAGGCTATGCTTCATAAGGCTTGTTTGATTGCACCTGGATACAGAAGTGTGGTTATGGATGTTTTGTAAAATTCCTCACAACTAGTAGAGCATCTGAGTTAACTTCCTTGGGATAAGAAACCAATAACGTTGAAGAGAATTGCTTGTTATTTCTCATTTTTTCTGATGTTTCTTGACACTTTGCTTCCTGATAATAACATCTCTTTGAAGGGACTCTTTTTTTTGGAGAGGTTTTTACTATAGGGTGCATGCGCTCTCTGGAAAGACACAGAGAGACAGAAAGAAAGAAATCATCCCCTAGGGGGCATGGCCACGCCACAATCACTTCTCCATTCTCCTCTCGAGATCTTGGGCACTCACATGCATGTACCCGGCGTGAGTTTAAGCCACTCGGTCTGGGACTCAAACTGCGGTTGACTACATAGGAGTGCAGCAACATAGCCATTATTCCAACTGCTGGTCCCAGGACTCTTTAACTGTATTTTTTCTGCTTTCCTCTTTCTTCCTGTGAAAGTCAACGTAGAAGCCAGATTCTGCTTTTTCTCTTTATCATGCATGTAGCCCTGGAGCCATCCTAGTAACATTGCTGAGTTATGGCTTAGTGCACACTGCAAACCTTGACGCTCAAGAAGCAAGTTCCACTGTGTAGAGCTTTTTAATTAAAACAGAAAGGAGATGTGACTGCCCTAAAATTTTAGTTCACGGTGGCTTTAAAATCTCTGCCCTCAGTTTCTACTCCTGGCCCTTGCCAGACTTTTTCATAAACTCTGACAAAGTGGACTGGGCTGCCCTTCTGTGTGTGCTCTGAGGTTTGGATATGGATACAACCCATGTGTCTGTGATCCAGCTAACTTAACCACTAGGCCATGGAACAAGCCCCATTTTTTTTTTTAATTTGCCATCTATAATAAATTTACTTGTTTTAAAAAAATCCAAATAGCAGGCCTCATTTTAACCATTTTCAATTGTATGGCTTATTGGCAGTAAGTATAGTCACATGCCGAGCAAGCTTCACCACCATCCATCCTCATTATTAGCTCTGCCCCTCGCCCCTCAGAAATTACCCTCCTGCCTACTTTTCTTTTTAATGTGGTACGTTTGTGAAAACAGCTAAAGTTAGAGATCTTTATAAACACCACTACGATGAGTGTTTAACTTTTAGTATTTGCTTCTTTTTAAAAAAAAAAATATTTATTTAACTTTATTTATTCATTCATTTTATTTATTTATTTATTTATTTAT